CCCCCCAACCAACTTCCCATACCCCCCCCCCCCCTCCTGGTAACGTGTACCACCAGTATACTCACATCGTAATGTGTACCACCAGTATGCTGAGCAATTAGTAACTAATCAACATTTTTCTTTTACTGTTCTGGCCATGGGAAACCAAAAAATCTGAATGGTTGTTGGTGGGACTTTGCCCATTTTTTATTAATTAAATACAGCCAGTGGCATTTGCTGAGCCAGGACTTCAAGTTAAATATAATCTCTTTTAAACCAGCAATCTGTATATAAGCATTCCCCAGCATGAGGAAGTCATAAATGTGGCTCCTTTTAGAAGCCCCAGCCAACCACTTTCGTGGATAATGTCTCTTGATCCCGGTTGTCTCTCACAGCTAGGGTCTCCACTGATGATCAGGAAACAATAACAGTGATTCACGAACATGTGGTCACCATGTTGGGCTTCATGAGAAAATAAAAGCCTTCAGCTTGGACACTGCTACCTTTAGGCCTCATTCATGGGTGGCAAGGGGGCAGTAAAGTTTGGTGGTTGATCTGCATTTTTTACTGCTCCCCTGCTATAATAGCAAGCTTGTACACATGCTACACACTTGGCAGGTGGTTGTAGTACACAATTGCAGTGCAAAGTACCCATTGGGATACAAACAAAAAAAACAGGCAATGCTGCCTGGAATGCCTCTAAACCGGCTGTCAATTGACCTCTGAAAAGTGGTTCACTGTGGAAAGCTTTCAAGGGGAGGGTGGGGCCTACTGCTTATTTGAATGATACCTTTGGCTGCAGTGGAATCTACAGTGCAACATGTTTATTGTTGTAATTGTGAGATGCAATTACAGTAATAAAATACTTTTTTAAGCTTTAGTCATCCTGTAATAAAAAAAATTAAAGCAGAGGTTTTTTTTTTTAAATTAAAACAGTGTACCAAATAAAAGCCTTATATGTCCTTATGAGGAAGGGGTGTATTTAAGAGTAAATCACCTGACTCACACTACTGGAGACTGTTCATGATTCTTAGAGAAAAAAATGAATTAATGTCGAGGACTTCTTTTTATTTCTAGAACTTAAATTGAAGACATACAATTATCTGCCGAGGACCACAGTCCAATCAGTTTCCTATTCATAATCTATTTCAAGAAAAGCATGCAGGTATTCTAATATAATCTACAAATAACAACCTATTGGATATGTTGTGAATCTACCAACCATACAAAGAATGAGGCTGGAACCTGACTGTCTGTTTTCTTGTCTGTCCAACAAGGACAGACAGTAGACGGTGCTACAGAACGATCATGAGTTTACAATTTCCAGTTGTATTTGAATTATGTCCATGAAGAACAAAAGGCAGATGTGCGAGTGCCTTGGATGTATACTTCTACATACATTAAAGGAGAACTATGAGGTGAGTGATTTCCACTCACCTCATAGTTCTAGCCAACCTGTGACAATGAGACTGCCACAGGTCGGCTCAGTAGATCGGGAGGTGAGCGAACACATACCGGGTTCGCTCACCTCTCGATCCTGTCACGGCTCTCTGCCATGACAGGGAAGGGGCTGGATTCCCCTCTCCGATCTGCCAGCGCTGACTAACGGAACGGACGGGGGAGGGGGCGGGTACAGCTGGCTCTGCCTCTACATAGGCAGAGCCAGCTGTCACTCACGCAGCTGGGGGATCTCGACGTCGATGTTGGGATCCGCGCCGGCTGCTTCGTATCAGTATACCGCGAGCTGTAGCTCGCGGTATACTGAGCTTAGGGTAACGGGAGGACGCTCGGTTGTGTCCTCCCGTTACCCTAAGGAGAACCATGGGGAAAAACACTGACCCCATAGTTCTCCTTTAAGGGCACGGGTAGGCAAACTTCAGCCCTCCAGCTGTGGTGCAACTACAAGTCCCATGAGGCAGTGCAAGACTCTGACAGCCACAGACATGAGTCCCAGAGGCAGATGCATTATGGGATTTATAGTTTCACCACAGCTATAGGGCTGGAGTTTGCCTACCCTGATTTAGAGGGTATCTGCGCCCAAGAATAAAAATGTATTATATTGCAGCTGATCAGTCCTTAGATGTGGCGTCTGCATTTGTTTTTTGTATTCAGGCATTTCTTTTTCAGTATTTTCACCTGGTGATCCTACCAGTAACACACTTCCTGTACTAGGGTGACAACACTCACTCACTAGCTGTGGGGGGGCAGGATTGTCACGTTAGGACAGAACAGCTTTCCTGGGTGTCTGTAGAACTCAGGCAGGGTTTATAACACTGCTTGGGATTTCAGTGCAGCACGGACACAGTAAACAGGAACTTAGGAGCTTACTGGATTTTTGCCTGGTTTAAAAAGTAGCCGTCCTTGCACCTTAACACTTCCACCTTCACAGCCATTCGTGAGCCAAGAGATCTTCAGCCGGGAACGAGCGGCTCTGCAACATTATTTTATTTTTTTTAATCATGGGGCATATACAGTATCTAGTTGCTTACTAGCTAGAAATATGCCAAGAAAATGCAGACTTTAATTCTGCTTTAGTGTAACTTCAATTGTACTCTAACATGCCTAAAGTATTTTGCATCTGTAGCAAGGTCCTACCTGTGACATTCATGCCAGACCCATGTGTGCCTCCCGTTTCTTGGGGTGAAGTCAGACCTTCCAATATTGTGTATCTCTGATGTGAAGCGGAGTAGTCGTCGATGTCCGTATGGCCAGGACATGTCATCTGCTGATTTGGAAAGACACTCTTCTTCATGGGCACATTCCAGCATGTGAAGGGGACGGTCCTCAAGATAGGCAGACTCTTGGGCCAGCTGTGCATTCAGTATAAGGTCTGGCGCATCTAAAAATACATTGAACACAAGTCAACCATTCTGCTAGGTTGTGATTAGGGTAGAGAGATTGTGGTTACACTGAAAAATATATAATAGGCCTTAACGTTTGGCCACTGAAAGGTGAAGTGAGGAACATGGAATATCTCATCACAATATCACCTGCAATTGGGTGGGATATATTAGGCAGCAAGTGAATATTTTGTACCTGAGGTTGATGTGTTGGTAGCAGAAAAAAATGGGCAAACGTAAGGGTTTGAGTGACTTTGACAAGGGCCAGATTGTGATGTCTAGACGACGGTCAGAGCGAATCCAAAACTGCAGCTCTTGTGGGATGTTCCCGGGCCGCAGTGGTCACGGCCTACCAAAAATTGTTCAAGGAATGAAAACTGATTAACCGGTGACAGAGTCATGGGTGGCCAAGGCTCATTGATGCACATGAGAAGTGAATGCTGGCCCGTGTAGTCTGATCCAACAGAACTAATGTAGCTCAAATTGCTGAAAAAGTTAATTCTGGATCCGATAAAAAGTTTTCTAAACACTCAGTGCATCGCAGTTTGTTGCATATGGGGCTGCGTAGTCACAAACCGGTCAGGGATTTTAAATGCTCCCTATTTTTTCCTCAATAATGAGCCATTGATTCAACCTTGAATACAGCTATCCCAGTTTATAAGAAACCATGGCCTTTATGGGTTAGAGCTTGGGGAGCAGATATTTGATATTATGCAAGACTTACGTTCTGTACAGCTAATTCCTGCGGATCGATGACCCCCTCCACGAGGGCAATGGACAACGCTGTGGTGACGACAGTGCTGAATCGACAACTCTGTGCCAGAGCAACGGACACCACTCATGACTATATCCTCTGCACCCCGAGTACCCTGCCAGTACCATGTCTCCTGCAGTATAGAAATAATGTAATTTAATGTAGTTTATATTCTCGAATGTTAGTCATACGGATTCAGAATATATTATTACTGAAATTAATGAATTATTCACCAGCTACTAGCCATTGACCTCATATTAAAATTATTTGCCAAACAGATGGCTAGTTTGCTTCTGTCACATTGTCCAAACAGTTTGAGAACACCAGTGGGGAACTAAGGAGGACTAAAGAAGTGTCTGGTTCAGTCAAGAGCACCGAAGATGCTATCCTGTTACCATCTTTCTGCAAGATAACCAACCTGAGGAGATGTGATACAACGTGACAATGACAATGATCAGTTTTAACTCTGGACTTTAGTTCTCATATGATGAGGGCCGGATTTCCCACAAGGCCATCCTAGGCCTGTCCCTGGGGCAGCAGGGGTGTGGAATTCCTATTTCCCGACTCCCGGGACATGGGGTCCTGGGCGCCGGGTGGGTAGTTGCTTTCTACATTTAGCCCTGCTTTGGGCAAGCAGAGCTAAATGTACAGTGGGGAAGGCGCCGCTTGTTTTGTACAAGTGATCTCGGCGATGTCGCATGAGATCACTTGCATGCAGCCTGCATACAGGGGGGCACATTGAGGATCCTGGCATTGGGGCACCAGAGAGAGTAAATCCAGCCCTGTATATGATCCTCTACTGTTCTTCTCATCACTTTTGGTGCAACACCTTATTAAGAGTTTGCATGCCACAAGAACTACATTATTCCCTCTGGTCCTACCTACACCATCTAATTTCACCACCTACCTACAAGAGCATATTGCTCTGACAAGAAGTCAGAGCAAGGATCAGTTATTATGTTCAAAGAACAATCATGAAGAAACCAGAGCAGCCAGATACAGATAACTAAAGTAATATCAGATGAATTCTGACTAGGTGACTGCAACCAACACGTGTTGGTTAAATAAGCTCTTTAGTATGTATGCATGCTGCAAAATATAAAGATGTTGTGAGGAGTTTAATTTCCTATTTAAAAAAACATAAGCTGCTGAATAGACACAAAACCTTTCTAAAACTCATATTGGGCCTCGTTTATCAAAGTGTCTAAAATAAGAACAGTCTGTGTTGCCCCCAAAACAGAATCAATCAAATTCTGTCAGATTCAAACCTGCTCTGGAAAATGTCAGCTAGAGTCTGAAAGTTTGAATGAGAATGCTTCTCTTGTGGTAATCAGGAATGGATTTCAGTTTTCTGACACAGTAAGATACTTTGATTGTGGCACCCGGAATAAATAAACTTTTTCAGCCTCACAGTTATATGCACCTCATGTATTTTGTACAAGTGAATTTTGTAGCCTATACTCTTACATAAGACAGACATGTTAAGGTCAAATTCATTTTTTAATTGGTACCATCAGCTGCTTAAAAAAAACCAAAGCAACAAACAAAGGCTGCAATACTCACCTCCTTTCTGGTACTGTCCCTGCAGTAATACCAATCTGCCACTAGATGTCCTCAGTCTCTGGGCATCGTTCAGCCTGGAATACTGAGGACATCCTGTGCAGAGTGTTGTGGACCTGCCACCTAACAGGGTGTCACTATGGCACCCTGAAATTCTCTGACGTCATCAACCCAGCAAACTGAGAACATAGTATGAATGAATCGGCATCATGGTCCTGCCCGTTAAGAAGATATCACCACTGTGCCCTTCATTTACAGTGTATTGAAGCAGAGAGCAATGCTAACGTTAACACATCAGCGCTCTTCTCTGCATCAGTGCAGCGTCACCAGGCAAAGTGTCACCCGGTGCGGCCACTGGGTGTTACCCAGTGTGCACACCATTACATTACAGGGTTCCTTTCTCTCCAGTACAGCTGTCAGGCTCTTGGCCCAATGACGGAGTGCCCGACTTTTCAGAGGGGGACACACCAAAATGACAGTTAGTCATTTCGGTGTCACTCGGTACAGGTCGTACCCACCTTGTGACGCCTCTACATCATTGAGGACCCCCCACCGCTGTAGAAGAAGAAGATGATCCTACACATCATGTAACCAGCCTAAAGACACCTGAAAATGGTAAGCATAAAAAAATTAATCCTAGCATAAATGCAAGGGAAGAGTGACATGACCACGGGATCCTAAAGTTGGGCTTTAAAATATAAAGAAGGAGAGGAGAGTCTGCCTTCACCCATATATTTTTAGGCCCTAGGTGCCAGTCTATGTACCATCTCCACTGGTGGCAATACAGATAGGTCTTATTTCCAACTTTTTGAGAAACTGGCTCAAATTGTCTTATATATCAGGTAAGACAACCTGTATCGTAAAACTTAATGATGTTTTCAAATATATTGTAATAGTGTTACACACACCAACTTGATACCTGTATAGCATGGTTGGCAAAGCCGAGTCCCAGCTGTCGACAAGCTACCATGGCTTCATTCATGCCCCAGAGTTCTCCACACACAGCTCCCCACTTCTTTACACCTTTAATGACCATCTGTACCTCCACCTTGCCCTCTTCACTTGACCTTCCTCCGACCAGTCGAATCTGAAACACAAGAAGGACAATGCTGATCTTACAGAGGAGTTCTAATGTTTAGCCAAAAGCTAATTAGTCTCTTGTGTGAGCGCTCTTGTACTCAGTAAAAATGATCACGGCAAATCATTACAGCATTATTCAAGTAATCAGAAAAGGCTGAAGCAGACCGGCTAACACTTTCTGATTAAATACATTTTCATATGTGCTTTAACTTGCTGCATCATTACAGGCAAGCTGAATATCATCATCATCATCATCATCATCATCATCATCATCATCTTTTGGAGTCTGCAGTATTACTTTAATTAGGACTTTACATATGAAACTGTACGCAACACCTTGGTTTTCTTTGCAATTTTGCTTCACATTTAGGGGTTATAATGGTCAACTGTCTTAATTTTCTCTACATTATGAGGGTAAATGCATGCAATATTGTCCAAATAATACTTCAGAGAGTGTAATAACAATTTGTGCTTCAATACAGAAGGGGGGAGGTCTGGGGCGGCGATCGGGGTTGTACGTAATGACCAAACATTGGGACTGCAGTAAGGATTGTTTGCGCCAACTTTCAAGACTCAAGCAGTTCTTGCACTAAGATGCAAAGTCTTCTTTATCACATTCTGCCCCCTCCACATGTACAATCGCCACATTATCATTGACAAAAAAAACTGACTGTTGGAGAGTAGTTAAAGAAAGTTAACAAACAAAGCAGAAACAACTCCTTGTTATTTAATAAGTTGTCTATCGATCCAGGTGGCAAGAAAGAGGAGACCCAGCAGAGCATACAGCTGCTATCCAACATGGAGTGCAGAAGTTAGAATACATGGAAAGGGTTCTAATAATAAATGTTTTCACCCAAGATTCTACTGTGACCCCGACACAAAGGTATAGCCCCCCTACTGTAGATTATAGTACAGCAGTTGTAATAAGATATTTATTTAGTCTGATCTAGCAAGTCAATAGCAAGACAGTCATACAGCAATTGTATTCCAGCAGTCCCGAAATGGACACAGTAGTCCTGTATACACAGTGGGGAGAGTGCACATGCTGGGAACTATAAGTTGAATCTATTCCTAGACGCTCATTTATTAATAAAACTGAGATACAAATATGTAAATATGAAACGTATTCTTGTATTGGTGATAGTGTTCTGCAGATAAAGTCATTCCTCAGCATATTTTATAGTCTGTTAAGTTTACAGAAAGATGCGTTCAGCTAACAGCCAATTTATTTAATGTTCTGAGTGTATTTGGTTGCTAAATGTCTTGCACTGTCACTCAGATCACAAGTGTCTGTGTTTTATAAGATACCTGCTTTACAGGACAATTGTTTTTCTGCATCTAACCAAAGTGAGGCATATCTAAGATGTCTGCAGGAAATACTGAGACTGTAGCCAGTTTATCAATCCGATATAGACATTATAGTTCATAAACTGCCATTAAAGCTGAACTCCAGCCATATTTTTTCCCACACTTGTAGCAAGTCGTCTCCCACAATGAAAATGATTATGGCCTGTAAACTTGCATCTTTACAGTATAACCCTTTAAAGCTGCAGCTGATATCTTGAGTCCACTGTCATTTCCTGTCTGAACAACCTTCATCATTCATCGGTCCCCCCCGATCCACACTGTTGTTGTTGTTGTCCCCCTCCCCCGCAGCTATTATCGTTTTTTTTGCCATCAACACATCCCTGGAACCCTTTCGATGTGCAACTAGTCAACCAATCAGTAGACTGCACAGACTTTAGCTCTCTACAGCACCCAGTGGCCGGTAGAGAAAAGCAGGCACATCTAAAGGGATATGGGTATGTGTTCTTTGATATACTGTAATTCTTTTGAAGAATACCCAAGGCAGAATGCTTTGATGGCATCGCTGGGTCCCATAACAGGTATTTCTTGAGAAACAAAATTATTTTGTTTGAAATTTGTTTTGTTATCTACATGCTGATTGGGAGAGAGGGAACACGAGAAGGTATTACATGTATACACTACACTTCAGCTTTAAGAATAAAATGCAGGGGCTTTAAGGTGCCTGAAAGTTCCTTCATAGGTCTATTCTAAGTGCCCTCAGAGGAAGACCTGACTTTACCACCTTCTTGATGTCAACTAAGGTGCTTTGAATCAGGGCCGGCCTTAGGTCTTTAGGCGCCCTGTGCGAGAAAGCTTTACAGCGCCCCAGAATGAAACCTGCAGTCAGAGAATATAGAGGCTGCCACTGATGACCTCTGCTTCTGAAAAAGCCTGTTGCTTGGATGTCATGCTAACCCAAGGCTTCAGTACTTTTCGAGCCACTGATCTGGTATATGTATGCAGATCAGGTGTTTCTGGCCTCACCCTAACTTTCTAATCTGATGCTTGTTATGGGTTAGTGGCGGTGAAAGTATTGCAGCCTAAAGGTGGCCATACACTCTACAACCATCGCAAGACTTTAGTCTTGCGATGGTTGTAAAGGGATTAAAAAAAACGTACGATCTGCCTATCTTGGACAGGCAGATCGCACTCTCGATCCTCGCAAGCCCGCCCCCCTGAGGGGCGGGCTTCTGATGACCGCAATGCTGAACGGGCAGTGTGCGCGTGCGCACACCGGCCCGTTCAGCATTTATCTTCCGAGCACCGTTCTAACCAGCCGAGAATCGTACGATTCCCGGCTGGTTTTCGAACATGCTGGTTCGACAGAAGACGTGCGACCGTACAGTAGAAACGGTCGCACGTCTCCGTTCACACTGCTCGATTATCGTACGAAAACCCGATCGCATACGATTATCGTACGATAATCGTGCAGTGTATGGGCACCTTTACACAGCCAGGCAGCCAACATTCTTAGATGGTTAACAATGGCAGCCTCCATATTCATCTCACTACATGTTCCCTTTAATTGAGTACAGGTGTACTTTACGTTAATGCTAAATCTTTTCTCAATCATGAGCAATATATAAACTGGACATGTATTATTTCATGCCATTTATAGCTGGGAATGTATTAGTGTGCTCTAGGGAATTAGCTAAATACACAGTTGAAATGTATGGTACATGGTTTGCAAGAGGCTGATATCAAAACATTTTCACTGCATTACAAATATACATTTTTTGATGTGTTATTGAACAGAGATCTGCATTAAGTCCTCACCTGACTGTTGTATCCCATGTCTGGAATGTTACATCTCACACCTGCATCTTCTTCATGCTGACACCCAGCTATACTGGCCTCTTTGAACTTGCATTCAGTGATGGACTTTTCCCGTCCTGTGCAGAGCACTTCATTCATGTGGATAGGACCCAACCCTGGATTAGGAAAAAAATCAAAACTTTGGTGACACAAGCCAGCATGTGTTAGTTTTCTGACTTTAACCACACAGTGGTTTGCGATGAACATTCCACATCTGTCTCATGGTTCAGATTCATCATATATTTCCTGTATACCAAATTATGGAATGGTCAGACATTAGAAGACTGAAACATTTATTAGTACAGGTTATATGGCCTAAAACTAAAGCTGGACTGTGCCCAACCCTCAAAATAAAATGTTTGAAGACCCATGCAGACTTTCTTGCGCGCCCTACTCTAGATGCCAAGAGCAAGACAGGCACAGTATCCTAACAGGAGAATATAACCAGGTATAATATAATGCATGTGACCTCTGTGTATAGTGCTGGCAATGGAAATAGTAAATAAAATAGAAAACATTATTCCCACACATATTAGGACCATTCATGTTGGTCCCTGTCCCCCAAATAAGCTCACATCTAATATCGCCAACGCACTCATGCTACATAGTTGAAGCACATTGAGTGGAAAATGAATAAATTATCACCATATTTTTGGGCTGATGGAGGAAGCCAAAGTATTTTGAGGACGGGATATGCTAAGAACTGCAGGGCAAAAATGTTAACCACTCAGGCACCATGAAGGCTACAGTCAGATATTGAATAAATCAATTAGATTTGATAGTTTTTTCGACCCTATCTCTATTGTTTTTTTACCCTGCAAGTAAGCACCCCCTGTACATGGGCACCCACATGTATCTCCTTAGAACATTATTTTGTACAAATGACTACCTGGGAGCTGGATTATACATGTAAGCGGGGTTCACTCTTGGGGTGTTGCGTGAGTTCCCTTGGGTTGGCTTTGTGTAACCGCGTGTATGCAACGCGACACCAGGCACCCCCACGCTCAGGGGCCTCGGCTCTGGCCTCGTGCAAACAACTTCCACACGTGTAGTACTGCGCACACAGGGCCCTCATGGCTTCCACCGCCTCTGCGGTCTTTGACGCTCCCTTCCCCTTGGGAAGAAAGGCCACCATGAAGGGCACCCTATGTCGGGCATAGCCCATTTGCACACATACCCTCCTCAGGATGGTTACAGCCACGATACAGTCCAACACCACACTCTTGCAGAACCCCTCCTGGTCAGAGGTCGGAGGGAGAAGAACCAGTCCACACAGATAGTCTTTTTCTTGATTTTACTAGAATGAACATGGTATAAAGTATACGTTTCAGCCATCCCCGAGTGGGATGACGGAACATCTCTTGTTACTTGCATGGTGATACATTTTAGAGAGAGAGAAGATAAGACCAGGTGCAGCCCAAAGTCCACGACTTCCTTGGGCCAAAAGCCCACTGGCAAATATTGTCAGTCTTACAGCACTTCCATATTCTCCGGAATCCCATCCTTGTCGGTTCTAACTCAGTGGTTTCCCCCTCCAGGGGAAACTGGGGAATCTCTGTAGTTCTACATAGTCCTAGGCCTGGCCCTGTCCTTCCCATGGACCAGCCTACCCTTTAGAATCAGTCTCAGACTTGAGCACTCTCCTGTACTCCTCTCCTGTCTTCCCCTCTCGGGCGCCCCCTATAAATCAGCTCCCCTGGGACACAGAGTTTCCCCAGGCCAGAACTACATCTATCTCTAGGGCCCCATGGGGGCATCTAGTGGCCATTGGCTGTACTGCACCTATCCTACATACATGCACAGCCATCAACTCTTTGTAGGTGCTCTTTAGTGCCCCCTGTACATAGGCACCCACATGCTGTCGAACATACATAGCCAGCATCCATTAACCCTCTGCAAGGCCCATAAAGCTGGCCAAACACTGAATGCATTTCAGCCGATTCCTGGGGAATCAGCCAATATTTGATCAGTGCATGGCGCTGCTGGCACCACCCAGCTCAACAAATTTAGACTGTCACCTGCCCCAGTGCAGAAAAATACCAATTGATCTTCAAACTGAAACCCCAACCAACATTGTCCGCACTACCTGCTGGACAGCAAAACTCTTCCTATTCACTACCATTTCATGGATGGAGCTGGATTTCTCTGGATGGCTAGGGGCCACCATAAGTACTGGCCAGCCACAGGAATTAATGGGCCACAAGGCTTTCATTCTCAGTAGGCACAGGACCCGCCCAGGATTTTTACCTGAAAAAGCTGTGCAGCGCAAGTCAATGCCACAGAGATATTACCATAGTGGGGTTTATGAAAGCAAGTGTTAAGGAAGCTCACTGCCACTTGGGGGTAGAATTAAAGGACCACTCAGGTAAAATAGTTGTTCTTGAATGCCCAGTTCTTAGTTTGTCCATCTAATGTGGTCATAACAGGAGTATTTCACTCTCACTGGGAGGGATGACTCCAGTGGTGGGAGTTTACTTCTAGATTTCCTAAGGGAGATATTAGACAGTGGGTATCTCAAACCAATAGAGTTTATCTAACTAACAGATTAGTATAGATGGACCTTGTAAGGCAGGGAAAAATACCCTAACCGTATGAAGATGTTTTCATAAACCCATGCATGATTTTGCAGGACTGACAGCCTAGCCAATAGTTTATGGACTTCTCAGCAAAATAAGCTTTATTACAGTCACTTCCATGGGATACAATGACAAAAATAAAAACAATCCATTCCGTTGAATAATTTGCTGCTATTTCTAATTCACTCCCAGCAGAAATAAATAACAAGCCTTTCTTGTAACACGAGCATAATGAGGAAAAATGGCAGCTACAAAACTGATAATAAACACTGTGTTAGAATAAAAGCCTTGTGCATGGAAAAGCATTTCCAAGTAGAAAGAAAAATAATGGTTGAAATGTGATTTGATAAAAAATAATAAAAAGGACCAATTTCAGCTGGGATTTCAGAGCCCGAGAAATACGTATTATTGGTGTAACTCCTCTCTAACATTTGCATAGTGCAATTTAACAAACAGCGATATTTCTGCATCTCAAACGCTGCCAAGATTAATAGTTTACTGCTTGCATAATTACAGGCTTGCTAACAAGTATGATGTTGGTATTGTAATTATATTCTCATAAAATGTTTATGCTAATTCATAACAATTTACCAGCCCAGATTAATAAACTGTATTTAGAAGTGTGTTAATAGTGAGCCTAATTATTATTAAGAAGTTATTTTTTTACCATGTCCCAACTGGGCACCTAAAATAGCTTCTTTGGCGGATCCGTAACCAAGCTCCCGACAGACCACGGTGGCTGAAATGAGGTTCCACTTGTCATCACATATCGTTCCCCACTTCCCATTTCTTAACACCTCTACTCTTCCCTCTCCAGCATGTGGGCCAGATCTCAGTCTTACCAGTGGCTCCTGAAAAACCCAAGGTATTTCCTTATTAATTTCAATGCAACAAAACATGCACACATTCATAATACAGAAACAGATATTCATATACAAGTCCATTATAGAGTCTAGTGGCCCTCTACAGCTTTTTTTGGCAACCTCTGGGGTCAAAGAGCTGCTCTTTCAGAATTTCTAAAAAAAAAAACAAGTATGGGAAGATACAGTATGTACATATTGTAGAATCCAATGACTCTGGGTATTATTATTATACAGAATTTATATAGTGCCAACAGTTTGTGCAGCACATTACAATAAAAGGAAGACATTACACTCACAATACAATTCAAGACAAGATGGTAAGGAGGGCCCTGCCCCTGAGGGCTTACAATCTAAAAGGGAGAGACAAGTGATAAATGAGGAGGTAGCTGTGTGGGGATGAATTGTTTGGTTTAGTTTGGTTTGGTTTGGTTAGGCAGCTCTCTGATATAAAATGGCCTCAAGAGCATTTCAAGTGAATACAGGAAGATGTAGGAAAAACAAAAGCACTGCATCAAAGGTTTAGGAGCCCAAGAGCATTTCATTATTAAAGTCCAAATGTAAAAAGTCAACATGTTTCAGGGGCTACAACATTCCTGCTTTAGCAGGGCTTCAAGTGCTGGTATGAAAAACGTTGTGGGCTGTTCAAGGTTAATGAAGGGTGAATTAACTTGGGCAGTGACTGCTTCAATCCTTTCATTTTAATATGTGCTTTAAAAGTTGGCTGTGTGAGCTTTACTGAATCTGCTAATTTGAATTACAATCTATCAAATAATGTAACATGAAAATAAGTCCATACAGAAAAGTGAAGGTAAGTCCACACAAAAGGACTGTATATTAGACATGTGCGATTCGTTTCGTTACGAATCGAAATTCGTACGCATTTTCCTGAAATTCCGAATTTCGGAGCATCCGACACAAAACGTCTTTACCATGATAATCCTGTTAGCACACCACTGTGTCCTCACTCCCCACCTTCTTAACCCTCACTAGAAGGAATGTGACCTCATATAATCCATGCTTTTTTTTCATGGTTTTTTTTCCCCATGTATTTTGACCCATTGGATTTGTGGACCTGTGGCATCTGCCTTTCCATCATTATATGATCAATTAACCCCTCTCACCATAATTGATGTGGCTTCAGCTCTTTCTGAATTTCTCTGAATTTCCATTATTTGGGGATGCTTACCTCTTTGTCTTGTGGCCGTTACATCATGTGTGCAATCACCAGCTCCGCATGAGTTTGGTAAGACTGGCAGATAATAATATGGATGTATTTACATGTGAATATTACTAATATGCTGTTTGTGAAGATAACCAATTTATATTACCTCTATGATTTTATTAGAATACCTCCATTCCAGATGAAGCGTGGAATGCGTGAAACGAGTTGAAACTGTCAAGCATCCATTCTCTAGGTTCCAGATAAGGCCTTACATATGATATTTGGATTATTCATTACTTTATTTGCTCAGTCGTTGTTCAAATCTTCAACATCATTGGTTTCTTGTCTTTATGTTGCTTAATCATGTTTATCATGCCTTAATGCATGGAACAGAGATGGTGCTGGGGATTTTTCTAGTATAAAATACTATTTTTACTCAAGCAATTTTGTGATGCATTGGTACTTGCTGCCTGGTGCCCTAAAAGCCCCATCTTTTCTTTGCTATCTTTTTGACTTATATAATCCATACTAAGATCAGATGCACTTTGGTACAGTGGTGGTTACTCTCATGTTCTAATGAAACAATTGCTGGTAGTTGCAGGAGGCCAGGACCTTCTTCCATGCTGTGTGTCTCCCAATTAAAACCTCAACAACACTTCATCCTCAAAATTCCAAAATATAAAACACAAGGAACCCTCATCTGGTAAAAAAAAGTTTATTATGATAATATAATCACATGATGTCAGATGTAAAAGACCCAAACATAAGGAGTCATCCAGGGAGCAAGCATCAACGGGCATTTCATCTATCTTGAAAATTTATGATTTCACATGAGAAGATTTATGTGAACTCAATATACAGTCCTTTTGTATGGACTTGCCTTCACTTTTCTGTATGGACTTATTTCACACTACACTATTTGGTGTTTTGTAGATTGAAATTTGTGGATTCATCGAAGCACACATATTGTTTATGTGTATGTAAGTTTGCTGTTTATATTTTAATATCACGCATAGCGCTGTTGTGTATTGCAATTTCTGTAATCTTTTTGAGAAAGATTTCACAGCTGCTAAGTAACACTTATATTTAATTTAGAGCGGTTTTGCTGTATTTATATAGTTGGTTGTATGTGTGTTGTGTGTATTTCATAATAGAAGTCACCAGCACTCAATGATGTGTGCAAGAAGTAAAGCACTTTTTATTAAATTGTCACAAGCGTCAAACAACGTTTCCGGGCCACGCAGGGTCTTTTCTTCTGGGCGACATAGTGACAACAACAAGTATGCAACTTCAGCTTTAAATAGTGAACCACACAGAATACACCACAGAACCTCTCCATGATGTCATACTGACGTCAAATCCCGCCAGAATTTGAAAGCAAAAATTAGCATATACACAGACAAAATAAAGGGCAGAACACAGCCAATATGCCTGAACCATGTTAGTAACACTGACCACTGTGCTGGTGACTTCTATTATGGACTGTATCTGACACAGCGCCATCCGTGTCGTCACTTCAAGCACCAATCTTTCATCCAAGGTCTGTACGCTGTATGGAGTGCAAGTGATTTCGTATTATTGTGTGTATTTCAAGGAAAACATCACAGCAGCCAACTACCAAATTGAATAACCAGTCCACCATTAAGAAGTACAAGTTCACAATATTTTTTCTTATCAGCACTTGAAGCCCTATAACGGGGAAGTGTTGTAGATGTTAGAAGACTGCTAACTTGCTTCTGAGCCTAATGCTAATGTACATTGGGTATAGTGGTGTTGTGTAAAGACATAACAGTCCACCACATTTTTCTTACCAGCACTCCAAACCCTAATAAAAGGGGAGAAGATGTAGAACTTAAAGAATGCTGAGTTCCTTCTGATCCAGATGTGGTGTACATTGATAGTAATGGTGTTATATTGACATAACAGTTTTCATTCTGCTGTTACCTACCATCGTCCTGAAAGCTTTTTTGAAGTTATTTCCATTTCCATTGGCAGAGGTAGGTGGAGCGACACATTTCACTATGGCATGCATCCCATTCCTGCAAGGATGTTTAGGGGTCTTGGGAGAAATTTGCACATTGCATTTAGCCAGATGGGGTTCTGTTCCCAAGCAATTAACTTTGTGGATCCAGAACATTTTTTTGTGGCTCAGAGCTTTTAACCTACAAGACAGATTTTTGTTATATTAAGACTAATAAATGATAATGTATAGTGGTCTAGAATCTTGCTTATGTAAAAGAAGGAAGAGAAACAAAGACAGGGCATTTGCCAACCACAGCCATGTGAGTGTTATGCTTTCTTTTTCTAACCTAGAGCAGTAAAGCATTTAGTACAATTGATTGCTATGGGCAATGGGCTTACGTTTCATCCTTTACATTCAATAAACCATGGAAACGTGTAAAGCAAACCAGCCTTGTTTTTCCTAAAGAAGTTATCTATAATTCATTTTGAGTACATTTGACTTTTGACAATAGAAAAATAGTACATTGTCTGATTACCTTGATTTTGGAACATTCATTTTCATATTCCAAAGTTTTCTGTAATAATAAAAATTATAAAAATGATATTAGTGGACAGTAGTATCCAGTGAGATAATTTATTAAAGAACCAGGAACTCAGAACACAGGTTGACATTCTATATTTGCTCCTCTATTGGAAAGCCACATGGAATTTCCATGGCAAGTCACATGGAATCCCAAGAGTGACCTGTTTTCTAAACGTATTGCCTGGTCACCTGATACGACAAGGACTATAACTCCAATCACTGCCACAAGATCTCAACATTGAAGGTCCCATTTGCAGTCCACTTCTATGCTATACTTTCTGCAGAAGCTTTATGTCATTCTAAATTCTGTATATGTCGTTTCTGTATTCTGGATATAGGTCTATGTAGCTATTCTAATTCAGTTATATATAAATTACACCTAGTGCTAACTCTCTAGTTCCATATGCTTACTGTAGTTCAAAGTAGATAGTATATGGGTTTTCAGTATGTATGACCACTACATGTACATATTCTCATTGTAAAGTGTGTGACATGTTATCCCTAAACTACCCTCTCCCTAACAGTAACATGTCAATTATATTTCCCACTCAATAGCATGTCGGTTAAACCGGTGGAGGGTAGTCATCAAATGCTCGGGCTTCTGCTTACATCAGAATTTATGAATCAAATCCTTTCCCCTCCGAGCTCTGTAAGCACAGCTGTAACATTATAACATTCCATTCACAAATATCTAACAGACAGTCGAGCCATGTTCTACCACAGAGCATAATGATGGCTTTGATAATTTCGAATGCTTACACATACTTCTTAGAACCACAAGACACCTTTTCTTGACACGATCAAATTAAAATCAAATGTATTTCTGCAGCCACCCTTCTAGCCTGCCTTGCCTGTCTCTGGCTTGAATCCATGCAGGTTGCAGACATGTACTCTTCAGCATACAAGCTTCTTGCTTATTCTTGCACCACATTAACACTTTTTTAAAGTATTTAGACTGATATTGACAAAAACACCGAAATTCATCTTTCGTGCGGCATAACCAGATTATTCACAGCAAGAGAACATGCATACCAAGTGTGGAACTATCTGTTAATTAAAGGCATTGATAAACATTTTGCTGTCCCTAAATTTTAATTAAATGTGTATTAATATTTAAGACTTGTGATATTTAATTTACTTTCTATGATGAGCATGTTAAATGTTAATTGTTCCTCAAGAATCAGTACTCGACAGCCACTGAAATGGTGGATTAAAGTAAAAATCTGAAGGTATAAAAAAGAAAAATTCAGTATCAGCTCTTTTTTTCAGAAAAAAAAAATCAAACAACATGTAATTATAATAGAAGATCTGATAATTGTTAATGCTGTTAGTTCAAACACTGATATTGTTCTTCAGGCAAATAGTGGATTATGCCACATAGCAGAGGTGCAGAGGTTCAACCAAAAAAACTAAAACAGACTTAAAAAGTGTATAGCAACAGTTACACCTGCAAATATAAATATATTTATATACTGTATATATATATATAGAGAGAGAGAGAGAGAGATCTCTCTCTATATAGAGAGGGAGAGCTCTCTCTATATATATAGATCTCTCTATATATATATATGTGTGTGTGTGTGTGTGTGTGTGTGTTTGTGTATGTATGTATATGTATGTATATATA